ATTGGTGATCCTTCTCTCACTTGTGCAATTAAGAAGAGAGAGAGACTTCTTCTCCAGAGGTCAATCCTTTAAACACTCCCAATGTAATCCCATCATGCCTGCTATGCACTAGAGACAAGCGGTTGAGGTGGCATGTTTGGTAAAGCATTGTGAGCTTGCCACCAGGTCACTGGTTCAAACCTCTCAGCCAATCTGGTGGACTTGGTGAGGCCATCTATTTCTGGAGAGATCGACAGTCCTTAGGAAGCCAAAGAGGCACTTCTAGTCTTTCTGATTAAGTTGGATGGCTCTAAGCTGGAAGAGACACAGAGATAGTAATTTTGTGCTATGGGAAATGAGTCACACAGAAGAATATCCATAAGGACACAACTATATTGCACCTATGAGAATCTGGATGCTAGAGGCATTTCTATAACCAATTGCTTATTCCACTCTGTTCTGCTAACACGCTCCTCAGAGAGTTCCATGTTCTCGCAATCACAGTGGGTAAGGTGTGATGGCTGAGAGTTTGTGTCAACATGCCTGGGTCTGGATTCTAAGGGATTGATTGGTTCATTATGATGGCATCAGCCTCGTTGATGAGATTTCAAAAAATTCCATCACTTCCATGCTGAGACCTACTGTGAGCAGCCAATGAGGGGGGAGATAGCTATCTTGTGGGCGTGGTCTTATTTAAAAGGTCTCTGAAAGCTCGGTAGCCTTGTTCTGGACCTGGACCCTTCATCTGACCTGAAGGTTTGGGGACTCGGGACAGAATCCTGTCATCATTCCTGCTTCTCTGGATGTTGTCAGTCTCAACACCCTTGAGGAAGAAGTCTGCCACTGGACCTGCCATCTTGGATTCATCATCCACTGGATCTACTTGATCAAGGTTAAGAGTCAAGACTGAAATCGGAGCCTTGTCAGCCTCTGCAACTGTGAGTTGAAATGGGGAGAAGCATGACAATTCTCTAACATGGTTCTGAGGAGCGATGTGGGGAGGGACCTAGACGTTGCAGGGTGGGGTTCCAAGCTTGGCTCTCTTGGAGGCCTCTGTAAGGTGAGTGCATTCTATGTTCCATCATGAACATAGAGATGTATTTGCTCTACTCAATAATCAGGCTAAAGAGATTAGAGTGTCCTGCTTATTGGTTGTGGTTTTGGTCGCTATGTGCCATCAAGTAGGTGCCGACCCATTGGCACACTCTGCACAACAGAAGAAATCAGTGCACTCTTCTGGGCCATCCTCAGCACTCTTCCTAAGCCTGTGGCTATTGTCCCATCCCCTGTGTCAATCCACCTCTGTGAGGGCTTCCCTCTTCTGTGCTGCTCCTCTGCTTTACCACGGTGTCCTGCTCGTGCAATGGTCTCTCACGACACTATGTGCAAAGTATGTCTGACAAAGCGTTGTCGTTCTTGCCTCTAAGGAGCACTCTGGCCAAATGTGGTATCATGTTATTTCTCAGGAAGGGTTATAGGTGATGCTTAGAAGCAATGATAGTTCGAAGCAATTACAGATTTGATAAATAACTTAAATTACTGAATCTGAAATTGATGATTTCAAGGATAAATCCCCACCTAATTCACAAGCAAGAGTTATTTCACAAAAGTTCAACAATTAATTATTTCTATCATGTGTTCTGTGACAGACTAGCAATAGCCACAAAAATGCCCTCTTGTTGACTGCTGAATGACCTGTCAACTTTCCCCTCCCATCACATGAAGCCCTGCTAGTGACTAATTTTAACATGGACTCTCATGTTCTGGAGATCAGAACATTGTTATCAATAATGTTCCCTTTGATGTTGTAACCAGGATATTACTATTTTTCATTTTATTAACAAGGATGTTATAACCAATGCTGTACCCTCTCTGGCTCACTAACTCTAAAGAATATTAACGTTCATTTTGCTTTATGCTTCTGTCCACTCTTGCTTATGTCCTAGACAGACGATAAATGACTGTTGGCCTTCAAAGTTGGACTGAAACCTCCACTTGAGACTGCAACCTTTAGACTTTAGCATCCGTTGATAACCAAATGAAGATTCTTCTAAATCATGAAGGCATAAGAATGGCTGTGTTTATCGAAACCCACAACACTTATGCCAAAACTCTCATGTCTGAAGAGCAAGTTTAAACTTTAATCCTCAACCTCTCACACGCACCCCCGAAAAAGAAGAGATTTTAAGGAGGACAGATTCTATATTAACTGTTCTTTCTATAATTTTCGTTGGATAATGTCAGGCAAAGCTTTCTTGTGGTGTGAGCCCATTCCCACCTGGCTTTTCTGTACCACATCTACACAACGACATTCACTTTGTTCTCACTGTTATTTTTATTTGTTATTTCCCCCTGGGCAGCATGTTTCACTTGAATACTTCAATTTGTCTTCTCAAGTGGCTCTTTGAAATGTTCTGTTCGGCTCTCTCTTTCATCATTTCTTCCATTTGCTTTAGCTGAATTTCCCCCAATGGCAAAATTCAGTGTCTGATTTCTTTCTTCCATTTCTGTCTTGTGAATCATATTGCTTTCTTCATACGTGATGTGATTGATGTTATTTCGCATCTGGTCCATTTACTGTTGGTTCTGTTCAATTAATCATATCTGTTCTTGAGATGACCTTGACATTCATGTGGGATGGATCTAAGCTTCCATTTGTACTCTCAGGTACGTGATTAATTTCTTAAGCTTTGTGTTCTCAGGCTCCATGTTGACTGCAGATAATGAACTCCTATAAAATGTCTGATATAGGGCTGAAGTCTGAACATTTCATTTTTGAGAAAGTATGCCTGACAGTCAAATGCAGAAAAAAAATCCACTTCATTAAATTCCTTGAGATCATGGAACAATGAAGTCCATCATCTTGCCCTTGGGTAGGGTGCATTGGAGAATGGATTACCTCCACCCTCCTGCAGCCAGTCTAGGGAGGGCAGTCCTTTAGAGGATTGACTGGTGTGTCCTTGATGGATAGTCCTGTAGTGGAGGTTGCAGAGTCAAAAATGTTACCCTGCCTATCTTGCTCAGACTGCCTTGTTTGGAAGGATCAATCTTCTAAGCGATAAGGAACCTAAAGTATGTGTCCTTATCTTTGCCTTCTTCGGGCTTCCATAATCCCCCTCCTATTGTGATTAATGAACTTCCAATGATGCATGAATTTGACAGTTTCTTGTATTCCATGCCTTAGTGATCGTATATCCTGACTGTGAATCTTTGGATGCTGTCATGCCTTCATGCTAATAGTGTTCATATATCTTTGGTTTGGTTTTGTCTTTATTGTTTGGGCCTGGTCTGGACCAGGAAGCCCCTTTCCCCAGCCTCTCAGGAAGAAGGATGTCCTACTGGACTTTTCAGCCCCTCCTTCCAGCATTCCAAGGAGCTTATCTCTCCAGGCGGGGGTCCACTCAGCCCCTTTCCTCAGCATTCAGGACTGGCACAATCTGCAAAAACAAGATGATTTATTCACAGGCCCCATCCTGGCTCAAATCCTGAAGCTATAGCACTAAAAACTCCCGACCCATTATCAGTACATACGTTCTTAGTTCAAACCCTATATATATATATCCCACTACCTTACTGCCAGGTGAGACTTCCTTAACCTAACTCCTTGGTGTGTGGAATCCGCCCACGTGTTCTTTCCCAGCCTCAATAAAGCCTTTGTTAAGTAGCTAGGCTAGGGACTGGGGCGTTCATTATTCATGCTCAGAGGTTCAGGCTTCTGGCCAGGAAGAGGTGGTACACCTAGGTGGGTGTTACACCTGGATTGGCCCATCTGGACCAGATGAATTCAATTCAGCCAATGGGGTCACCAGGATCTCCAACCACGCCTCCCAGCAGAGGACCTGAAAAGCCACAATCCAGAGCCTTGCCACCCCTTCTGCTTCTCAAGCTACTCCTCAGAGATTGTGCAGCATCTCCTCTGGCCTCAGGACTCCACGTGCAGGGGTGAAGTGCCCTGAGGGTGCCTGTGCAAAACTGAAACTTTTCTAATTTTCATAAAAATTACTTGGACCACAAACTGGGCTTCCGTGTGAATTCTTTCTCAAGCGAAGCCAAGGACCAAGGTATATCTTTCCCACGAGTCAGATCTTACACCTTTGTTAATTTCACATTCCTGGCTGAGTTCTATCTCAGCTCTGCATCTCCGTTTTGACCTTTCATCTATGTCCTTTATGTCTGAATAAATGTCCTTGATTTAGAGTTGGGGTAGTGGTCTCTTCTGGACTCTAAAACATTTGCCACAGTTACAGGCATTTTGGTTTCTGTGAATCACATCAGCATACGTCTAGATTTATCGCTGCCGTTTGCATGGTTGAAGAATGTATGTATGGTGAAGAAGTCATTGTCCTTGCAAAATCTGCCCCTTGATTTCCAGATTTCTTTCTATCACCAAGACCAAATATCCAACTGCTTGTCCCTCCTCTCTGTTCCCTAATTTATTATTCCAGTCACCAATAATCATCTATACCTCCTAATTGCATGGTTGGTCAATTTCAGACTGACGTGATTGGAAGAATTCTTCAGGTTCTTCATTAGTGACGGATCAGTAAATTTGAATGATCATTGCATTGGCAAGACTTTCTTTTACTCCCATAGTTGCTATTCCATGACAGGCAGCATTGCAGTTCAATAGAGATCTCAACATTTCCATGGGAGGAATGCTCAGTCATTCCTGTTGAATTTGTCATAGGATTGTTTGATTCAATATGCAACCACTATATTTCCTACTGATCTTTGATTCATGCGCCTCCCCAGCTGCTGTGACCACTGCCCACCATCGCCCTGCCTGCCTTGGATTCCAGAACCCCAGGACGGACTTGATAGAGTCAAAGGAAGTATCCAGTTTAAGATCTAAGTGTCAAGTGGACCTTGCCAGCTTCTAGCACTGTGAGTTGGTAAGAGGAGTGTCCTAGCCACAAAGCTCCCCTCTTAGGATTCAAGGGTGTAGGATCCAGATTGTGGAGTGCTAGGACAACTAGCTTGTCGATCCAAGAACTCTGACAGACCCCTCCTTTTATTCACAGGACTGCTTTGGGAGCCGAATGATGAGCATGAGACGCAGAAACGCACGCAGGATCGTGGACCTGGCCATCCAGACGGTGTTGCGGAACGAGACCTCAGTCATTGCCGCTCTGGAGTGGCTGCCCACAGAGCTCTTCCTCCCCTTCTTCATGGAAGCTGTTGTTGGGGGACACACAGAGATAGTGAAAGCCATGGTGTGGTCCTGGCCTTTTGGCTCGCTCCCACTAGGGGCTCTCCTGGAGTCGTGGCATTCTCATCGGGACATCTTAGAGGCTGCCCTGGATGGTTTTGATATTCTGCGGGCCCACAGGTTTCCAGCAAAGAGATGCAAACTGAGAGTGCTGGACTTAGGTGTGAACCCTGACACTGACTTCTGGCAAGTGTGCGCCGGACCCCAATCCGTTGCCTCTGTGCCCTCATCAGAGGATCCAGTGACCACCCAGCCAAGAGCCAAGACTCACATGGAGAAAGATTTCAGGGAAGGGGAGACGCTTCAACCCTTGACCTCCGTGGTGTTGGTCACAGACCTGCGTTTTCTGGAAACAGGCCCAGATGAATTGCTCACCTGCTTCACTGAAAGAGTCCAACAGGGAAAGGAGCTGCCGCCCCTGTGCTGTAGGAAGCTAGAATTTGTAGGTCTCCCACCACTTCCCATAACGGAGGAGATCCTGAATGCGGTGCAGCTGGACTCTGTCCAGGAGGTGATATTGCACTGCCGATGGGACCTGCACACCCTCAAATGGTTTGCTCCTTACCTAGCCCAGCTGGCTCAGCTGAGCACACTCCATCTTTCTGGAATCATCCTGGACCCCCTTGGGTCATGTAGCATGGAGGAGGTGGAGAAGCTCCTTGCAGAGTTGACCTCTCACCTCCTCAGTCTGCATCAACTCCGACACCTCATTCTGGAATCTGTCTATTTCCTCGATGCACAACTGGACCAGCTGCTCATACGCTTGCCGGCTCCCTTGGAGACCCTCACCTTAAAGTCCTGCGTGCCAGTGGACTCTGACATGTTTAGTCTGTGCTTGTGTCCCTGCACCAGTAGCCTCAGGTCCCTGGATTTGAGTGGTGTGTTCAACGTAGCCTTAAGATGTGAATTCCTCCCATGTCTGCTAGAGAGGGTCTCAGCCACCCTGACCCACCTGAATTTAACTGACTGTGGCATCAATGACTGTGAGCTCATGGCCTTGCAGCCTTCTCTGGGCCAGTGCTCCCAGCTCAGCACCTTGCTGTTGGGCGGAAACTCAGTCTCCATGGCTGTGCTGCAGGACCTGCTTGAGCACACTTGGCCACAGTGCAAGTTCTCCCTTCTGGGGGTCCCTGTTCCTCAGCAATGCTATCAGGATAACGGAGGTCCCCTGTATCTGGCTACTCTTTTAGAGGCACTGCGGGAGCTCAGGATGACCCTGCAGGCCTATGGGCCCCTCTCTGTAAGATTCTCTCCCAGCACCCGTCAGAGAACTTGGGATGAAATCATCATACATGTGGAAAGCGAATGTGATCACCCTCTTTACCAATTCTAAGTTCTGCTTCCAGTTTACCATCTCACTTATAAGGCATTCTTATTATTATTTTTTTTTACCGTTGTGACCTTTTTTTAAAAAAAATCATTTTATTAGGGGCTCATACAACTCTTATCACAATCCATACACACATCAATTGTGTAAAGCGCATTTGTACATTCATTTCCCTCATCATTCTCAAAACATTTCCTTTCCACTTAAGCTCCCGGCATTAGGTCCTCTTTTTTTCCCCTCCATCCCCGGTCTCCCCTCCCTCATGTGCCCTTGATAATTTATAAATTGTTATTTTGTCATATCTTGCCCTCTCCGACGTCTCCCTTCACCCACTTTTCGGTTGTCTGTCCCCCAGGGAGGAGGTCACATATAGTTCCTGTACTCGGTTCTCTTATTTACTATGCTTATAAGATTATTTGTCATTAGGTTCCAGAGGATTAGGTTGTCTTTGCAATGACAGTGTGCTCATTTGGAGTAGAAGACTACATGAAGCATCTGACATTCACAGCCTTACCCCAGTCATTCCTTGCTGGCTTCACATCTCTTCTACAAGACATGAAAAGAGAGGCCAGCAGACAGGAAACACTGACAGGAGCAAAGCTTGTCCTGGCAACCCAAGATCCCTGCCCTGGGAACCTTATCGACTCAGAGGAACGTGGATGCCAACACTCATGGAATCTCCAAGGAATGCACACAGATGTTGACAAGAGACCAGTCCCTCCCACTGCAAGACAATCGACTGACAACATTTCACATCCACGCCTAAGCTTCTGTAAGCTAACATCTCTTGTGTAAGATAAAATAAATGTCTCATTGTAAAGACACCTGCTTGTGGTATTTAGTTCTCTTCTACCCAGAATATACAAAATATGTCTTCTTGAATTGGGTTCTGTGCCCTCGAACAAACAGAAATGCACGTAGAAGGATGTTCGTTTGGGAACTGTGTCCACCTATTAATGAATAGTTGGAGGATTCAAAACCACTACTTTCTACAATGGAGAACAAAGAGAGTCTGCCCCCATAGAGACACAGAGCATTGTTAACCAATATAGCTCATTCTGCCCTGAGTTAAAATGGAATGAACCCATCGGGCAAAAGCAGACAAGGATATATGGGAGAAAGATGGGGCTTTCTACTCCCACACAGAGTTACAGTCAGGGAAAATCTTAGGGTCAGTCTACTCTGTCCTGTAATTTCTTTTGACTCATTATCAACAATGGCAATAAGATTGCTTAATACGTTATTCTGGATTATGGGTTACAGTACATACATTTTTCAATCGCCAGAAGGGTGTATGTTTTCTGTTTTCCTGGTAAGAGGCATGGTAAGTGTGGGAGCCTATGATTAAGATCCATGAAGGAACGGGGGGAACTTTTACTTTGACCTAGAGTTTACAATGAGGGGGAAGGGACACAATAGCACTGGTTTTGGTTTTGTTATTTTCTTATGATAGAATGTGGCTTCCATGAATGGAATCCCAATCCTGTCTCAATCTTTACCAGATTGATGCCAGGGGAGTTTTCTGAGGTGTGCATCCTGATCCTTTCTTTTTCCAAGGGATTTTGGAGAAGTGAGCAGAGAGAAGCAGGATCAGACTGCAGCAAGATCGTGGACCCTGAGGTCATATGCCCCCAACGCAGGTGTGTCTGCAATATCAAACAGGCCATGGACTCAGAACCCTGAGGAAATGGGTCGAAAAGGAGTTTCTCCAGGATGTGGCTGAAGAACTTTTCCACTATCATGGGATTTTAGGAGAGAGATGCTTGAACGTAGAGTAGGTAGCTAACTACAGTCAGGAAAACTCACCAGGATCGGGTGTATTTCAGGACCCACAGTTCCCACCAGGCAAATCTTCTAGAAACAAGGTAAGGCTGATGCCCAGACACACGCAGATACGAGGGAGGTCAAGGTTTCAGACGTTGCACGGATAGAAGGAAATGACCCCAGACTCAACAGGGACGGAGCTTTCTTCTCCAGCTGAGGCCTTGGATTTGCATCACACCCACCTAAATGATGGCACAATTACTTCTGGTTGGTGATGCTTCCTTCCATCATGAGAGCATTTGAGAATTAAGACAGTGTACTGGACCCAATGTGACCTGTCATCCCTGCTGTGCTCTAGAGACAAGCGGTTGAGGTGGTAAAGCATTGGGGTGTTTACCACGGGGTCAGTGGCGAAATCAACAGTCCGTAGGAAACCAAAGAGGCACTTCTACTCTTCCCCATACGTGGAAACATGGTAAAGAATGAGATAATTACATTAGCAGTCCATGCCTATGATCATTGCATCCCAAGGTCTATTAGGATTGCTGTCAGCAAAACGTCCATAGAGGGGCCTGTGGGTTCAACCTGAGTCCCTGCAAGACCTGGGCAAGAGTATCATGGCGAAGAGGCTCTTGGCGATGTTCATAGCAATCCTGAGGGACAGGGAGCTCCAGAAGGGAGAACTTGCACAGTGGCAAAGTGTGCTGAAGAAAGCCATGCAGGACAGCCATGGAGACTTGGTTACCACACAAAACCATGGTGCTGAGCTGGGAACACTGGCCCAGAACAGTTTGCAAGGCAGCGAGCTCAGAGTCACTGATGACACGGTCAGCTAAACTCAGGTGGGTCAGGGTGGCTGGGACCCTCTCTAGCAGACTTGGGAGGAATTCATGTCTTAAGGCTGCCTTGCACACACCACTCAAATCCAAGGAACTGAGGTTACTGGTGCAGGAACACAAGCACAGACTTGATATGCCAGAGTCCACTGGCACTCAGCACTTTAAGGTAAGGGACTCCAAGGGCGTTGGCAAACTACTGAGCAGCTGGTGAAGTTGTTCATCGAGGAAAGGGGCAGATTCCAGAATGAGGTGCTGTAAGTGAGGCAGAGTGAGTAGGTGAGAGGGCAACTTTGCTAGTAGCTTGTCCACTTCATCCATGCTCGATGACCCAAGGGGATCCAGGATTATTCCAGAGAGATGCAGTGTGCTAAGGTGACCCATCTGGGCCAGGCGAGGGAGAAACCAGTTGAGGGTGTGCAGGTCCCATCGGCAGTGCAATACCACCTCCTGGACAGAGTCCAGCTGCACTGCCTTCAGGATCTCCTGTATAATGGGAAGTTCCGTTAGACCTACAAATTCTAGCTTCCTACAGCACAGGGTGGCAGGTCCTTTCCCTGTTGGACTCTGTCAATGAGGCTGGTGAGCAATTGATCTGGGAAGGTTTCATAAAACAGTTCTCTGAGCATCACCATGGAGGCCAAGGGCTGATTATTCTCCCCTGCTATGGAATCCTTTGTTTGTGAGTCTTAATTCTTGGGTGGGTAACCACTGAATCTTTTGATGGGGGACCGGAGGCAATGGATTGGAATCCAGACCACACTTTCCAAAGGTTGGTGTCAATGTTCACTCTTAGGTGCAGCTCTGTCAGTTTGCATCTCCTGGGTGGAATCTTCTGGGCCCGCAGAATATCAAAACCATCCAGGGCAGCCTTGAAGATGTCCTGGTGAGAATGCCAAGGTTTCATGAGAGCCCCTAGAGGGAGACGGATGAAAGACCAGCACCCCACCATGGCTTTCACTGTCTCTCTGTGTCTCCCGACCACAGCTGCCATGAACAAAGGGGCAAAGGGTTCTGTAGGCAGCCCTTCCAGAGAGGCAATGGTTGAGCCCTCTTTCCCCAACACACTCTGGATGGCAAGGTGTAGGAGCCTAGGGGGGTTCCCTCTGCTCATGCTGATCAATCTCCTCCAAAAGGAGTCCTCACCTGTCAATGAAAAGAAGGGTTTGCTCAGACTTCTGGGATAGCCAAGCTGGTTGTCCTAGCACCCCCAAATCTGGACCCTGCCCTTCTTAGCTCCTCAGAGGGGAGCTTTCCAGCCAGGACACGCCAAGGTCCAGGTGACACCTAGATGTCCAACTGGATACTTCTTCTGACTCAAGTGGGTCCTGAGGCTGTTGAAATCAAGATGGACAGACCGATGGTGAACAGGGAACTCAGCAGCTGGGGAGGTACATAAAGCAAACATCAGTAGAAAATATGGTGGTTGCATATTGAATCCAACAATCGTCTGGTTTACTATGCAGGAGAGACCATTTCAAGAGGAATGGCTGAGCATTCCGCAAATGGAAATTATGAAATCTATATTGAATTACCATGCGCTCTGTCTACCGATAATATCTATGGGAGGACAAAAAAGTCTTGTCGATACAGTGAAGAGGCAAATTTAGTCACCAATCACTAATGAAGGAACTGAAGGATTCTTCCAACCACCTCCATATGAAAGTCACCAACCACGTAGTCAAGAGGCATAGATGAGTGTTGGTAATTGCAATAATGAGGAAACAGGAAGGAAAAGCAGTTGGAAAATATGGTGTTGGTGAGAGAACAGAATCTGAAAATCAGAGTAGATCTTGCAAAGGAATGATTTCTTCACCACACATACCTTCCTTGACAACTCAAATGGCTACTATAATGTAGACTTTCTAAGCTGATGTGATTCACAGAAATCAAATGACTACATCTGTGGCAAATGTCTTAGATTACGGAAGAAATCCCAATCCCAAATTCAAAGTAAGGACATTTACCCAGTCATGAAGAACATAAAGACAAAACCAAACCATAGATACATGATGTCGATGAGGAATGCTATTAGAATGAAGTACCACCAAACAGAAGTAGTTGTGTCCTCATGTAGAAGCCTGAAATCCAAATCCAGGGCCTCATGAGTCTGGGGTCATTCCCTTCTATCCATGTGACATCTGAAACCTTGACCTCCCTCGTATCTGCGTGTGTCTGGGCATCAGCCTTACCATGTTTCTAGGAGCTTTGCCTTGTGGGAATTGTGGGTCCAGAGACACACCCGGATCCAGGTGACTTTTCCTGGCTGTAGTTAGCTACTGACTCTATGTTCAAGCATCAATGCCATGAGAGAGGAAAAGTTCTTTGACCACATCCTGGAGAAACTCCTTCATATCCATTTCCTCGGGGTTCTGAGTCAATGGACTGTTTGATATCACAGACACACTGACCTCAAAGTCTAAGGTCTTGCTGCATTCAGATCCCATTTCTCTCTGCTCACTTCTCTAACATCCCTCAGGGGAAGAAAGGATCGTGATGCACACCTCAGGAAACTCTCCTGGCATCAATCTAGTAAAGATTGAGAAAGGTTTAAGGATTACCATCCCACCCTGAATCCTTTTGCTATGTAAAGTCTTCATACGGGATCCCATCACAGCAGATCCATTCACAGAAGCCACAATTTTAGGATACTAAAAAATAACAAAACCCAAACCTGTGCTATCGTGTCCCTTCCTCATCATTGTAAATTCTAGGTCAAATTAAAACTTCCCCCTAGTTCCTTCATGGATCCCACTAGTAAGGTTCCCACACTTACTAGTTCCATATCATGCCCTTTAACAGGAAAACAGAAAATGTACTCACACCCTTCTGGCAATTGAAAATGTATGTACTATAACCCATAATCCAGAATAAAGTACAAAAAAATCTTACTGCCATTGTTGATAATGAGCAAAAAGAACTTACAGGACAGAGTAGTCTGGCCCTAAGAGTTTCCATGACTAGCTCTTTGTGGGAATAGATAGTCCATCTTCCTTCCATATACACTGTCTGCTTTTGCCCCATGGGTTTCATTCCATCTTCACACAGGGCAGTATGAGCTATATTGGTACACAATGCTCTGTGTCTCAGTGGGGGCAGACTCTCATCGTTTTGCATTGTAGACGGTAGTGGTTTTGAAGCCTCAAACTGGTGGTTTTCAAACCCCCAACCCTTGATTCATAGGCCAGCACAGCCCACTACTCAGGCACAGCACCCAAGTGGGCACCCTTTCATGTCTACTTCTGCTGGGAAGAGTGAGCACCTCCTGGGTCATGAATGCCTAATTTTTTTAGTTAGTCTGGACAAGTGAACACCCTAGTCGATAGCTTTACAAAGAGGTATTTATTTTATTGTAGGCAAGGAGAATTGCTTTGGAGAAATGTAAAACAGATTTTCAGTTGATCAGCTGTAGCAGGAGGGAGTGGTCTCCTTTCAACATCTGGACCGCCCCTCTCTCTTGGTGATCTCCATGAGTCTTGGTATTGACGTTCCAGAATCCAGAAGGTTCCCAAGGCAGGGAGGGACCTTGTGTTCCAAAAGGAGGCTTTGCTCTGCCCGTCCTTTCATGAGGGTCCTCAGCATCTATCTGTCTGCTGGCCTCTCTGTTCATTTCTTTAGAAGAGAGATGCGAAGCCAGCAAGGGTGGTCTGGGGTGAAGCTCCTGATGTGAGACACCTCCTGTAACCTTCACCTCCACATGGCCACATTATCACAGCAAGGATCACGTCGTGATCATGAAGCTAGTCCCAAATGATCCCATAGACATCAGAAACATGAACATTTCACAAATGGGGTAGAAAATCAGAATCAATGGTGAGGATTGACAGGACATGGTAAGGAAGGTGAGCTGTCTATGTGTATGATGATTGCATCCCAATCTCTGTAAGGACTGCTGCCAGCAAAACTTACAGAGAGAGGCTCGTAGATTACCAGGGTCTCCCTGAGCGCCTGCATTACCTCTACAAGAGCATCCTGGCACAGAGAGACTTGGAAATCCTCATAGCAATCCTGAGGGACAGGCAGCTCCAGAAGGGAGAACTTGCACAGTGGCCAAGT